AATCAGCTTTGGCCTCAGTTCTCTTCCTCCTTTGTTTCTTAACTCCTGAGATGTCCTGCTGTCCTGTTGGAGACCAGATTGAAGAGCAGCCTTCAGTCTCTCTGCCTCACTGACCTCCGCAGGAGCTCGTTCAACTCATGGTCACTGCAACTAGTCGGGTCCGACGACACGAAGGCCAAGCATCATACAGACGCCTTTTTAACGTTTATTTCCTCTCAGCCAGAAAAAAAAAAAAAGCACACATTACATACAGTATAGTTCAACCCACAGGTTTGGGATGCATATCAGTATTATTTCTACTAGAAAAGAAAGCCACCCTAAGATTGTTCTGAATATTTTGGCGGTTGGCTGGGAACAGAGGATACTTCTAATTTTTATAATTTTTTTTTCATTTTGCTTGTAGTTTTTTTTTGTGTGTTTTTTTGTGTTTTTTTTTTTTTTTTTTAGGCACCTTATTCTTACTGAATTCAATATTAGCATTTGAGTTTCAATGGAAAAAAAAAAGCAAAAAATATGTGCAAGAAAAAAAAACAAAGAAAAAAAAAACAAAAGAGAGAGAGTATAAAAGAACTGCAGATATAAGATGCCACAAGGAATTCTGCACCTGGGAAAAATGCTTAAGTGGAGCATGTGAATACCAAAAAGGCATCTAAAGGCTCCAGATTGCTGAAAGTGAATCCCATTAGATAAACTACTTTGACATTCACATACATCGCTCACACACACACACACACACACACTTGCACACACACGCACGCAACATGCTTTCACTTCAGCTCTTCAATAAAGCATTTTAAAAACTGCTCAAAAAACCGAGCAGAGAAGAATCCTCAGTTTAAGCTCGCACATATGAGAAATATGATCCTCCTTATGGAGGGAACTTTGCTTTGCTTTATGCGTTTTGTAGGAAAGCATACAGTAGAGGAAACTCGATAAAGAAATTATTTAAGTTTCCATGGGTAAAGGAGCAAAAAGTACAAGGAACAAAAATGGAGCAGAGGTTCAAAGACATGCCAACAGTCACTCGTTTACCAATCTATCAAACTACTGGACAGTTACAGGTGCAGAATTCCAGACAAAGCAGATTCAAAAGATCAGGACACAGACAGCCACACAATCGTCACTCTGATTAGAGGAACCAGGCCCTCAGAAACAAATACCTCCATTACACACTAATCACTTCTAGGATACACGCACACACACTCAAGAGATCCCACGTACGCTGCAGGGTGGAACCTTGTTGTTTACATCATACATGGGAGGCAGGGAACTGTGGAATAAGAAAGGTTCCCTCGCACGCATCAATGGGGACAAAGATTACACATGCTGATTACTGTATGTGTGCGTATGTTCTGTGGATGAGTTTGAGTACAAGCATGTGTCAAATCAAATTCCCTTATCCCCCTGCTGCTGCCGCCTCTGGGACAGCATCCACCAACTCCCAACGGGCCGAGCTCTGCATCGCTCAGTCGATGACACCAGGCTGGCGAGTCTTGCGCTCCACGTTGAAGCCCTGCGCGTGAGCAGACGTTCAACAGGTTAAAAACAACTCTGGAGAAAAGCTAATCATCGAATACATTTGTATGCAAAGCTGTAGTTTAGTACCGACACTGAAATGATCTCTAAGAAGACTAATGCATTAGATCAGTATTAAAGGCTGACTAGTACCTTTGAATTGTCAGGACCGCGGGGCTGTCTCACGATGACTAGGCGGGGAGCGCTGGCGTCGTCCAGAGTGATGCTCTTCAGTCGGTTGACCAGACGATCAGGACGCGGCGTCACCACTGGCTTCGGCCCCTCACTGAGACACGAGGCACATCATGAGCATCCATCTTATGTCACAGTTAACCATGTCCTACATGTAGCCAACAACGTTCATCAGAAATCGGTTTCTTCAGCCTTTACAGTCCTCGTCCTTACCTGACTCTGCGTACGTTGCAGGCACTACATTTTCCTGTGCGTTGATTGAGGACAACCGAGAACTCCACTTCGTCCCCGGTCTGCAGCTCCAGGCCGTCCTGCACCTCTTTCACATGGAAGAACAGCTTCTTGCTCTCACCGACTTCATACGTGATGAAGCCAAACTGGAGAGACAACAATCACAACGTCAGGTTCGTTCATTCCTCTGTGCTGCAGGAACTGAATGAAGCTCAGCTAATGAAGCTACCTGGTCTTTGACGCACTCCACCAATGCTCTGCGCTGAGGGACCACATTGCAGGCCATCTTCTGACCCGTCTGGGCAACTGTGCAAACCTGGAACTTCACAAGCTCTCCTTTCTGCAGGCAGTCCGCCTTGCTGGCCATGCCCATGATTCCAAATGGATAGTTCTGCCCTTTAGTTCCTCCTGTGGGGTGAGGAGGCGCTTTAGCATTGAGTTGACAAGTCCCATGACAGAATCACACTTTGTGACTGTTGAGTAGGAGTTAGATCATCATCACAGGTGTTTAGGAAATCACGAATAAACCTAAAAGTCACCATCAGTTTATAATTAGTCTGTTTATTGTTGCATCCGTTATTGTCCGATCACATGAGAACGACAGACAGCACATGTGTGGCTCTGTCACTGTGGTTAGACTGAACACTGGAACATAACAGTGACAGACGTCTAACTGACAGAACCACTGACAGACTGATGACGCAGCAACGCTATGTATCCCACGTCTGAAAAGGGATCATGTGATTAAAAAAAATACAGAAATAGATAAAATGCTTGACTAAATTTAAGATTAAAAAGAAAGAAAGAAAGAAAAAAAACAAGCCACCCACCTTCCTCTGTTACTTCAATAAGCCCCTGGTATTCTGTCTGGGAGGGGTCCACGCTGCGTAAGGGACGGATGACTTTCCCCATCATTACTGACGCACTCACATCCTCACCGGTGCCGTTAACTGAAAGTGGAAAACACACCTTGTTATTGTAGGCAAAGCCCTGCACTATGTCAGCATTCACAAACATATGAGAAACATAAACTCCTCGTACCTGCAGCCACCTTGGTGACCTTTTCGGCGCTGACTTTGTTTCCTTTGCCTTTAGACAGAGTGTATTCTACCGTGTCGCCCAGCTCCAGGTTCTCCAGGTCTCCACACATCTCACTGTGGACAAAACAAACACCTGAATGTCAGAAATCTGTACCTGCCATTAATAATAATGAATAAATCAACAACCGTACAACTTTAAAACTCTACCTGTAGTGAAAGAAAATCTCCTGATCGTGATTCGCCGTCTCAATGAAGCCAAAGTTGTCTTTCAGCGTGGCAACAAATCCGTGCAACCTCTTGGCAATGGAGGCGTTGCGGTTCAGGACACGGATGGAGACGGCACTCTGCTGGCCGGTTCGCTTCACTTCGTTGATGGAGAACTCCACCTTGGGGATGAACAAGATATTAGATCTCTCGAGCAGAATAAACACGACTGAGCTTCAGGTTTAAAGCAAATAACAGAGCTAAAAAATAAAGGACTGTGACATCAGCCACATTAATCTGCTGCAGGAAAACAACTCTTTTGTTTCATCTCAGTGTCTGCAACAGGTTTTATATCTTTGAGGGTCCTCTGAACATTCTCTATTCAACATCATGGAAAGCAGGGGTCTCCAATCCTGGTCCTCGAGGGCCACAGTCCTGCATGTTTTAGATGTTTCCCTTCTTCCAACACACCTGATTCAAATGATCAGGATCATTATCAGGCTTCTGCAGAGCTTGATGATGAGCTGATCATTGGAATCAGGTGTGTTGGAAGAAGGAAACATCTAAAACATGCAGGACTGTGGCTCTCGAGGACCAGGATTGGACACCCCTGATGTAAAGTAACTGCAGAGTCTCTGAGCAGGCACCTTGTCTCCAGCCTGTGGGTGGCCTCCTCCCTCCAGGTCCTTGGTGTGGTATGGCACAGTGAGCTTCACTCCACAGTCTTCATATGCAATCATTCCTTCCTCAGCTTCCTAAACAGAGGGCAACAAATCAAGCCTGGATTATTTTTCCAATTAGTATTTTAGGTGTTAGATCCTGGTGGCCCCAGCCGACACTGGAGGTTTCATCAAGGCTACAATAAACTCACAATGTGCTCAAATACTCCAACCAGATGACTTCAGAGCATGTAGTGTATTAGAAGATGGAGTGCAGTAAGACTACAGAAGCATGAGGCAACAGTGCATGATTCTGCAGCAGCCTAGTTGGTTAGCGTTACTCTCCTCTACAGCTGACGACGTAGAGCTGCACAGTTACCCAGTCCTACTGTGGTTTAACTACTGGCTTTGACCAAACACATCATGCAGTTTACCAGCATCGTCATCATGTCAGCCATTTAATCCTAACAGAAGCCAGAAAAGCAGAAACGTGGCCAGGTTACTTGATCGCTGAAGATTAACAGCCCATCTAAGCTTCTTAATGTGTTGAGGTGCTGCTGCCCTTCAAACACTATAAACTGGAGTCACCACCTTAAATTTAAGTGTTAAAAGGACCTCCTGAGTAATAGAGAGTGGAGAAAGGTTGTCTTGGTGTTGTTTGCATCATGTAGAGGAACCTTAACCCTCTGAACCCCAGAACCAGGTTGGAAGGGAGTGTTATATCTCATTGATTTTACTTTGTTCTGCAGATCTCCTTTAAGGAATGTGCCAGAGATACGCTGCTTACTGTGACCACTAGTGACTCTGCTGCAAGCAACAGTCACATGACTAAAAACTTGTTGGTGAACTGTAGGTTTTGCTTGAACACAAAAAAATGTAAGTAGTAAAACATCTTTAGTATGTGGGATAGAACACCTGGGGGCCCTGGGAAACATGTTTATGTCAATCACAGGTTGTTGTTTTTTTGTGTTTTTACATTTTTTAAATAAATAATTAGACTTCAATTTTGTATTTTCTTTCTCTCTCTCTTTTTTTTTTTTTAAATTTATCGCATTTTATCTTTGTTATGCTGCACAACAGGCGTGTTTAGGCTCTCTGTACTGTGAGCCGTGGCTGTGCTGTTTCCACAGAGGTGCAGGACTTAACATGTTATGGAACATAAGCCCACAGTGAGTATAAATGTCACAGGAGCAACAGATGCTCAGAAAGGTCTTGGGAGTTCAGAGGGCTAATAATGATATATACATGTACATTATATTAAAAATACACCCAAACCTACACCTCACTGAATCAGTAACGTGATTCCATATGTTCTGGGGTTAATTGGTGATAAAATACCATGCTGTCAACTAAAGGTAAAGGAAGGAATCAGAGGGCAAGCGCCCTGCAGACACAAACCTTTTCTACAATTTTACCCTTTGGAAAAAAAAAAAAAAAAAATGAGAGAGAGAGATCCATTAGACAGGAAGGCTCCTCAGCACCACGCTTCTAACTACACAATCCTGTCACTGCATTATGTGTCAGTGTTTCACTTTTAGTTGGCTCATCTAAAGTATCAGATACCAACTAAGTGTGTCTTAGGCTAAATGTTAGTCACATATACAGACTACTGACACACTAGATTTGTTCAGTCTGCCTAGAACATGAGCGTCTTTACTCGTATGGCTTCATGCAGAGGGTCTCAGTCCTACCTTGTCTTTTTTCTAACCGACAAGGAGCATGAACAGGAGGTCATTGAAGGAGAAAGCAAAAGAGGAACATTAGAACTAAAACAAACAGGAAAAATGGGTAGACGGGGAGGGCAGGGAAATGAGCTACAGGACGAGTGTTTTGAATGCACTGGGGGGGAGTCGCTTCATACGGACGCGTCTGTGCACTGTTGTACCTTCTCCTTGCTCTTGGTAGGACTGGCATTCTTGGAGGCTGCAATAACTTCCTTCTCCACTACACCCACAAAACGCTGCTCAGACTGGGTATGGAAGGACACGGTGCCTTTGGGAAGCTTCTTGATGCGCACTGCGTGGTTCCTCTGAGCCGACAGCATATCCTGGCAACAGCAAAACAATAACTGGGATGAGCCTTCTGACACAATAACGCGCGGTAAACTCTTCTGAGAAAAAACGTCTGAACACGACCTACAGGCACAACAGTGAATTCCACTTCGTCTGAGATATGCAGCTGGCTCTCCTCCAGGACTTCACTGAAGTGAAAGAACATCCTGGCGTCTCGATCCACACACTTAATGAAACCAAAGCCATCGCGTATAGCTGCAATCACCCCCTAGGAGAAGATACGGCGACAACATTTTCACTTGAGTTGTGAACGCTCTCGTCCAGTCAGTTTGTTTTTAACTCCACAGTCTAGTATAGGCAGTCAGAACAATCACAGTGATTTTCCTCTCTTCCTCACCATTTCACGAGTCTCCTTGGTGAAATTGAAGGTGTCTGGGAGGATGTCGATGTTTGTAGCCCTCTCCAGTTTGTCTCTGCGATCAGTAGAGATGTTGAATTGTATGTGGTCTCCCTCCAGAAGGGTCACCTTGGACTTGGTGTCCTTCTCACCAAATGGCAATTCCTTGTCAGTGAAGCCGATCCTGGCACTGATGCGACCCGGTAGAGGGTCGTTCTGTGGAGGCGGAAAGATTTGTTCAAGCTCTTTTCCTGGTTGGTAGATCACAGTTCTATGCTTTTCTCTCTCACAAAATTTAATTTGGCAGATTTTACAGATGTACTTGCCTGGTTTTTGGTGGGGACCTTAGGAATGACCTTGACAACAGTGCCTTCAAACTGCTCAATGCTGATATCCTCAAAGATGACTGTTCCTTGGGGGAGCAGTCTCACATCTGTAGCTACCTCCTTACCCTGTAGAGTGTTACAAACACACCCAGGCAGGTTATTTACAAGCGTTACAGCTGATCAAATAGACAAATACTAGTGGACTACACAGTTGAAAAGCATTACAAGACCCACATTTCTGTCTTTGATGGTGAACTCTACATCGTCTCCGGCCTGAAGAGCTTCCAGATCACCCTTGAACTCACTGTAGTGAAAAAATATCTCCTTCACCACATCTGCCCGCTCAATAAAACCAAAGGCCTCCTGAAAGAGAATAAAAACAAGAACATCTAATTACATGGATGGCCAAAAAAAGTCCTGCTGAGGTTAAAGATTACATTTTCTGTATACATTTTAGTCACTACATCATCAACAGTATTATATCACCTGTATGGGAAACATCATGGTAAGAAATCTTATATAAACAGCATTTAGATGTGATACTGGGAAGCCTAACACATCTATAGCACATCTGCTTGTTACAAACACTAACCCGTTGGCAAACAAGCTAGTTTTTAGGTTGACAGGGACATTTGTATAGCGGCTCTAGATCATGCATTTAGTTTGTGAGATATAGTTTGCTTAATAACACGTGTTCATATAATGATATCAGCGACCCTTACCTTCGTAGCACACACCACACCCTGGCACCTCATCTGCTTTTTCTTCACAAGCTGAATATTACGAGCACTGACCGCACCGGTACTGAAACACAAGCAATAGACATGAAATCAGAGTTCGTCCGTTATTGGGACATTACCAACAAGGCGAGGAGACTTACTGTTTGTTGGTGTCCATATAAAAGCTGACTTTGTCACCCGTGTCCAAGTGGATGTTACCCTCCACATCTTCAGGAGTATAGGTCAGGTAGAACACTTCCTGTGGAAAGTCACAGCCCTGTCAATTATAGATGAAAGGTTTTGGGATGCAGCTATTACAATCTAAACTGTCACCATAAACATCATCCACAAAATATTAAAGCACAGAAAGCTCATGTGCTGTGGAGGCTGAAGACTTCACATGTACCCAGCTCTAGTGTGATAGGAGTAAACACATATAGACACTGGTCTCCACAGCTTATGCTTGCATATTGTTGACTTAAATCATAATGTCAATAGGCATTTAGAAACAGCAAGCCAAGTTTAGAACCAATAATGGAACTTTGTCCCTACAAAACCCTTAAAAACTGGAAGGATGAAATTCTAATTACATTAACATCCTGCATTTTGTTAACCACGCACGGTGCAATCCATACCACTGATCTTACCCCATTTCTTTCATAACAAACGCTGCCAGTGGGCACCTGGCCAGGAGCAGACTTTCCATCCAAGTGCAGCGGAATAGATGAGACGACCTGCAGGCAAAGGGGGAAACGCAGGCAGAGGCCATTAACACACTGCTTTGCCAGCCTGGACCTGAACATTCACTCTCATTATACAGCCAATTTTAAAATATTTCTTGAAATGTGATGGATGAAATGGCTGAAGTTCAAACGGTACAGCGTCAGGTATACCATGGGTACGTGTTAGGGGTTGCATGGGTGTGACTGCAGTATAACTGCTAAATCTTTATGCTATGTCAAGTCTCTTAGTGGCCTCTAGCAGGTTGATAACCTGAAAGAACAAGTACTGAATCAGTCTGAGTATGCTGCTCTGAGGAGACACGTGGTGCTCTGCTTTGAGAATCTGATCATTTGTTTGTATCTGTTACCAGATAAGTGGCATTACTTGCATGTTGTGCATCAAGCACAAAACTCTGGCATGGGAGGCCTCTGTCTTCTCCTTCTGATCTGATGTTAATGATGCAGCAGTTCAGCTCACTGGCTCTTTACAGCCACGTATCAGAATTGCACTCTTTAGATTGGTTTTAGTCTGAGAGACTGACCAGGTGAGGTTAAACAGAAATGACGCTGATCATTTGGCCATACCTGCTCTAACGTTCAACACCTCAAGCAAACACGCATGCCAGCAACAACAAGCCATCTGCATTTCAAATCAACAGTACATTTTGATGGAAAAAAGACATTCTGGAATTTGGTTCAGGATCACAGGGGACAGAACATTTCCCCTACCCAAGAAACACAATGGCCAATATGAGAGTTAAGTTGACAGACACGGACATAACCAAAAATAAAATGGTGTTCCTTAACTGGATGAATATAACCATGCAGCACAGTAAAGGGATAGGCGTGCAGGTCTGGCCCCACCTGGCCCGAGATGCGCTCCTCTGGCAGCACCTCTGGCTTTATCTTTAGCAATTTCACTGCTATGGGCTTGCCAGTGCGCCTGTCAGAGGATACCTCAAACTCTACATCATCTGATGAGACAGAGAGAGACAGAAAAACAAATTAGCACACTTACAGTGACACAAGAACAACTCAGGTTTCAGCATTGTTTCTTTTCAAGAAGTGATGTCTGGCATTTTAAGCATCCACCCACAAGTCCACGGCCTCTCACCTCCTATTTTAAGCTCCTGCAGGTTGCCATTGTACTGGGAGCAGTGGAAGAAGAGGCGAGCCTGACGTTCGGAGCACTGGATGAACCCATAGGACGTCAATAGCTTCTCCACAACACCAGTCTCTCTAATGCCAGGCCCTGTGCCGTTGGCGTATGCAGTGTGCCCATTGTTATGGAGCATTCCTGGGTCAAAACTCATCTGGAGAAGAGGAGAAGCAAGTCTTAAGATGCATCCAGTGGTGGATCAATGGAAAGGAGACACAAGAAAAAAGGGTAGACACAGTTTGATGCAGTGTTTGATGCCAACCTTAAAAAAAAAAGAAAAAAAACCAAAACAACTAAAAACAAAAAAACTAAAAACAAAAATCAATCATGCAAGTACAGCACACTTCAGAGGAAGTGGGGGAGGAAAACAGGAGAGCTACATTAGAGCCTTTCAGGGCTATCTGGTCATCAGTGGGGAAACACACATTAATTTATACCGTTGACAAAACACAAACTCCAACACTGTCTGGTGCTTCATCGTGTCATGCACACAAAGCTACAGTTCACTCCATTCGTCAAGTCGCTTTAATCCCAGAACATCTCGGCAACAACATTTGGGAGAAAGTTCATGCAAATCTTGTTAGACAGTTTCTGAAGTTGTTTACCTACCAATCGAACAACTGCAGTATCAATAAAAACTCATGGATAAAATCTGCTGGAACGCCCTGATTAAACTCGTTGTTCACACAACTACAAACCATGCTGTTAGCAAAGGTCACATGACACAACAGCAGCTCACAGATCTGTTAAGTCAGTATGGGCACCGTCGAACATGCCCTCTTACTGATCTCTGATACAAGGGAGTCCGCTTGTGTTTTTTACTTCCTGGGTGGGCGTGGCAAGAGACGGAGGAGGAACGAGGGATAGGCATGGGACCGGTGGAGGTAGAGGGGGCGGGGCCAGTGCTGCGAGCCACTGGAGGTTCAGAGGAGCCTCTGTCCATTTGTGACACTGGGGATAGGACTGGGATATGCTGTTGGGAGGAGGCAACGTATCGGTTTCATTTCTTCAATAAATTACACTTTACTCCAGATATCACATCGTGCGTTATTGGGTACAACCAGGTGTTTTCCAGCATTAGACTATGAAATACTGTCTAACTGACCTAACTACATCTAATGATTACTCATACAGCACCCTGTGTGTGTCCATGCACCACCTTTGGAGAACCTACACAGAACAGAGCATGTTCTGGGGGAAAAAACCAGTATACTTCAGCTCATCGCCGTCAAACTAAACCCCTGAGGTAAACCGTGACACCTACATACCAGGCACAAAACCATACCGCCACTCACATATAATGGTTCAACAACCACAACAATCACAAGTCAAAGGATCAATCTACAGCACTATCAAGTGGACGGAAACACTGGCGAACGGCTCCACGGAGAAAGCAAACTACGAACTAAAAAGATCAGTCGACGTCTTGGCACAGCCAGTTACGGTGAGGTGCTTGAAGGGCAGTGTTACTTAAGGTCAAGTAAAAGAAAACTACTGAAGATGAATAATCAGAAAATGCAAATGACAGGTCAAATAGCATCGCATCTACAGTGGAAAGAGAGTTGGTGATGGATTATGGGTTATGTGGGGGGTCCCAGAGCAGCCTCTTCTGTTAGGTCCTGCACTGCACTATCACACTGAGACGTAACGTACGCGAGGTCTTTTACGCGTTAATGTCTTTTAACATTCAACATTAAAGACACAAGTACACAGGCAGCACGCCTGAGCATGTTGCTGCCAGTGCAATGACTATTGTAAAACATCTAAAAACATTTTGAGCACAGGTAGAATGAAGGCGTTTTAGTTGAGTGCTAATGGACGAATACGTTTTTTATCAACAGTTTAATCTACTTACCAATTTTCCACAGAACCAACTTGTATTTGTGTTGCCTGATTAGAGCAAAGTTAGCTATAAGCATTAATTTAATCCGCTAAAATTTTCCTCATGTCACAGTCCTGGATTGTGACACAAAGTAAAAATAAGGAAGAACAGAGAAATATCGCGGGGAATTGTACAAAATGCCAAATTTCTAAAGCCTAATCGGCAGAGCACCTCTCGCCCTGCAACCATATAACTAGTAGAGGCTAGTCTCGGGAGCCTGAAAAAGATGAAAGAGGTTAGGCCATTCACAGCAAAGATGCAGGGCAAGGTGGGTGGATGGGTGCTCGATGGGGGGTGGGGCACGTAGAAGAGAGGTGGATAGGTGAAACTTACGGATCGGCCATATGGCGACAGGCTGAGTCCGACAGGGGAGGTGCTGCTCAGGTCAGCGCTAACAAACGCGGTGGGTGGCGACGCAGGCAAGGTAAACTCAACAAAGCCTTTCCAGGGGCTGCCCATATTTTCCCATAAACTCGGACCAAACTTGCTTGAGCACTTGCTGAACTTGATTACTTGTCTGAATTTCCTTTTTTTTTTTTTTTTTGCTTGACTGTTAACTACTATTCTTATGTAACCACCCAATGATACACCGCTGGATGTCTGCAAGGGTGAAGAGAGGAACAAACATAACGGGTAAGGTAGATAGGTCAGCCAGTGTGCCAAGTGTCACAAACAAAGGAAAATAGCTGTGGGCTTAATCCCCAGGGAGGGTTGAAAAGGCAAAAAATCAGGGAGGATATAACTTGAAAACGACAGAATGAGAAAAAGGTGCGGATTGGGTGTGGGAGGGCAATCAAATCATTGTCCAACTGAAGTGAATAACCAGTTCAACTGTTTGGAGGTGGTGGTGGTGGTGGTGGTTTAGTTCAGCCGGCTTATGTGAAGTTTCAGGAAGAGTTATCTTTAGCAAACAGCAAATGAGGTCACTACAATAGCAGAATAAAATCACGTCTTACACCTGAGGGGGTGTGTAATTATGTGCAGGAAGTAATAAATATGGGTTCATTCTTAACCAAGCAAATAAAATATGTCCCTCTTCTACCATAAATGTGCACTAATAAGTGAAATCAGTAGCTGCAAATAAACACTGAAGATGCTGCCTTTTAAAATTTGAAAAAGCCAAACCCCTGTTTCAATTAAAAAAACAAAAAAAAAAGCATGTGTTTGTCAGAGTTGACTGCTCTGGCAAACAGGGAGGACAACAGTCATAAAAAGTAAACATCTCCTCATCGCTGCCCTACATCAGTGCAGCTGTCCAAACTGAATGAGAACTAATCGTTACACAATCCGTTTTAAATGTCTGTCCATCAAATCACACAGTTGTCAGTAACAAGAAGGCTCCTTGTTTCGAAGGGACTGCAATCGAGACCCACCTTTATTTGTCGTTTTGTGTCTTGTAATTCTCAGGATCTTGATGGCTTTGCAGTTTTTGCAGACCTCTTCATGCACACAGTTGAACACGCACACTTGTTACAGGTTTCTGGCACAAGTTCTAGATGGTTGCATAAAGTAAAAAAGGGGAGAAATCGAGCGCAAAAAAGGCAAACGCAGGTGCAATAACACTGCTCAGAAAAAAAAAAAATACAATGAAAACAGAGGGAAGAGAAGAGGGAGGGAAAAATGGGGGAACTATGGGGGGAAAAAGTAGCAGATAGCAGCCCACTCCACACCCCGGTGGTGAGTCGGCGGTGCAGTGAGGATGAGGAGGGCTAGGAGCAGCGTTGGGACGTGTGCTTTGTCAAAGCTGTTGAGTAGGCACAAACTTCTGGTTTCAGATCAGTTATGGTCTTTTCAGAATATGCTTGGGCACAGGATTGCTTCTTATCTACGTTTCCGTTGGGTTGATGTGCGTATTCTTTGGTCGTTTCAGGATTTGGTTACTTCTTGTGTTTTAAACCCTTGAAGTGATCCTTTTGTTTGTCCACGTGTCTTCAGTGTTGCAACTTTGTTTTGGGAGGTTTGTCTTCAGTTTCTTTGTTGTGATCTGAACTTGAAGCAGTTGCGGATGGTACAAAAATTCTGTTCTGTTTCACTTCATACTGTTGGGAGGGAAAAAAAGCACATCTGATTAGATAAACCCATCACATTAACATCACAGACACAATTTATTAAAAAAAAGGTTCCAAGAGTCTGCAGCAGAGATCTCCAGCTCCAGTCCTCGTGAGCTACTGTCCTGCAGGTTTTAGACGTTTCTGTACTGCAACACACCTGACTCACATTAACGGATCTCCAACAGCTTGTAGCCAAGTTCTACACAAGTCTGTTAATGATCCATTCATGTGAGTCAGGTGTGCTGGAAATGTCTAAAACCTGCAGCTCACGAGGACCAGAGTTGGAGATCCCTGGTCTACAGCGAGGCAAAGAAATTGACTATCATCTAATAAGAATTCCACATTTTCTGTTGCATGAAACGTCATATCAACCCCAAGCACAAGTGACGTGAAGTTTATGGAGTACACAAGATTCTTTACTGCCTCACCCCCATACAAAAATAAGTTTCCCTCAAATGACTCTAGACACGGGGCAGCTGTGGCTAAGGTGGTAGAGTGGGTTGTCCTCTAATTGCAAGGCTGGCAATTAGCCATTTGATCCCACGCCCCGTCACAATCAAAGTGAACCCGAAGTTGCTCCTGATGGCAGGCAAGCATTGTGCACAGCAGCTCTCTGTGAGCTCTGAGTGAATGAGAAACACACTGCTTTGAGCACCACTAACATGCAGATCATTTACAGTACACAACGAGCTGTAGATCAACAAGTCCTTGTGCGTGCTTTTAGGGCAAGCTATTATATTTCCACCAACATTTCAGAGGCCCTCGGCTGTTTTGGACTGTCCTCGTGTTCAGGTGAGTCTAGTCTAGATTAAATAAAGATTGTGTGTAATCATGCATGTGGATTTTTATTTTTTATTTTTAGTTAGAAACTCAGAAAGTGACCTTCATCAGTAGGTTAGAGTGTTGTTGACCTAAATACCACGCTTTAAAAACAAGCCGGTTGAGCCAACCCAGGACACATGATATCTATTTTGCTGTAAGCGTGTGGCAATGCCTCCCATCCCACATCCTAGAGGGTTCAAACACAAAGCTGTTTTTTTCCCTCTCTCAAAGGGGCTTCCTTGACATTCATATCATTAACAAACAAGCACTTGTCTGTACATTTTGCAAATTCTGGTGTAACACTAAACTCAGTGGAAGCTGTACATCCTAGTGGCAGCACAGAGAAGGCAGCTATCACGAGATGGATTGGGTAAGTGTGTTAAAGGTTATGAGCAACCAACAGAGAAAGCACTTCTGCGAAAATAACCTTGGAGGAGAAGACGGGATTTTTTGCTCCCCGCTTTTTGTGACGCAAAAAGAGGTGAAACCGTCCGAGACCACCGGGAGGCCGTTTAGAGCGTTCTGGTTAAGCAGCAGTCTGGTTTAGCTCGTTAATCATTTAGCAGCAAACGTTAGGAGACATGTCAGCCATCACAGGACAGTTTTAAACGACAAGATCCTCAGTATGACAGGCTGTAGCACTACGGTGCTCCTCTGGTCTGGCCCAAACAACACCCGCCCTGAGAGGACCGGCCATGTGACTTCCTAGCAATCCGCTATCCTCAGCTGGAGCAGCTAACATGGCCTGATCCAACACGTTGCGGCACACAACGCCATCGGAAACGTCACATCTCGGCTGCCCAGTTCGTGTCGCAACACATGTCAAACTCTACAATACGCGCCGCAACCGGGCGCTTGTCGTTCTTTGCCGCCAGCTGAACAAAGTGACAAGTGCAGTAATCGTTCAGTATAAATCTCTAAATGACCTTGTGTGGACAAACAGAACCTGGCAGATTAGCATCTCGCTAACGCTACAGTCGTAAACAGCCCGATACTTCAGGGCGTCTCCGAGTCTTTACGGGGGACATAAATTCAATGCGGCGGGATACATGAGGTATTCTAGGCAGCCGTTATTCCCGTCAATTAAGTCAAATGTTCAAGACGTTGGAGTGTCTGATCGTAAAGTTAGTGGAAAGTAGTTACGCAGCCTGTCACGTTACTCTCGTACAGACGTGCGTTCCGATCTCAATTCAGAAAAATGCATTTTTTTTGTCGTTCACTCTAACAAGTATAGAAAAAGCTCTGATGTGGCTTTTGGCGTTGTGATAGGGGGAGGGGGGAAATTCGGCACAGACGTTGAAGTATATAATGCTACATATAATGTTATATATAATTTTAGATAACGCTGCGCTGTCCTCCAACACGGCTTATTATGAAGACAAAAGCCGAATTTGGAAAGTGACTGCGGACGGCACGACAATCCTTAAGCATTCGCAACCATTTGGTCTACGGATACCTGCGGTTAATTAAGGCCAACACAAAGTCTCAAAAACTGCGTTCATTCTGTTTGCGCAGCGGTAACTGAATTACAGCGTTAGCGGAGCTCGCGGCACGAGGACGTGACAACAAAGAAGCTACGTACGAGCTGTCAGAGGCTGGTGCTCTATTGTGTTCATGTGCCTCTATTGTTTAATACACAAGCTTGCCTCCAGAGCTGTCTCTGAGCTACACTGGGACACGTTTAAGAAAGGACGATATTGTCCTGTTTCTTCATACCGTCACCGACTCGGCTAGGTTGTCCGCAATGCTAAATGGCTAGTAGCGGTTACAGCTAGCTAGCTCGCTAGCATGCTACACTCCGTGGCCCTGTGTGGTGATTTATGTGGAGGAAAAACACGGCCGCCCCCACCCAGGCCCAAACTCTGCGTATGACAAAGCGCAAGATAACCTGTTCGCCTCTAAAGACCCACCGGATGAGAAAAAAATGCCTCACAGTGATATTACAAATGAACGTGTTAACTGTTTCGCTAAAGAATACATTTAATAAAAACTCACCCCAACAGCTTTCAGCACTGTCACCAGCGCCGCTAGAAGCAGCACGGCACATTACGTAGTGATCAGGACGGCGGCTAACGCGAGATTTGACAACGGGAGCGTCACCAGAGAGCCTTAAAGGAAAGAGTGACCGCTGCAGCTGCTGTCGTTCCGCAATGATCCACGGGAGACTTAGCACACAGTTATGTTATTTATGTATAGCTATAGCAATTTGTCTACATTGCTAATTAGTTTCGAAAACAGATATATGGGAGTTGTCCAGTTGTGTTACTGGAAATGTGCAATCACGTCATGTACCAGCAACAGGCGACACAAATCTTTCCGTGCCCCGCATTTAATTCCCTGTCAGCGTCTGTTCTTCCAGTGAAGTAGAGGTTCTGAGGCCACACGTTGCAGCTTACGGGTGGGTTCAAGAATGAAATCCATCGTAGGGGAAATGTAAATACTTCTCAGCCAAATCTTCCGATTTCTTAAGAAAGTGAGAAAAAATAGTTGTTGCAGGAAGGACTAGGGAGGTGAGAGAGTTGGATTTGGACACTATTTAAAGTAGACAGTTGGTACAGGCAGATGTGACTGGTGTAGGGGAATAAAACAGTAGGATAAGTTATACTGATAGATAGATAGATAGATAGATAGATAGATAGATTAATCCCCAATGGGAAATTTGGTTGTTACAGCACAAGATAGAGTTACCGCCACCATAAATACCGATAAACAGGCAAAAATAAACAACAAGAAAATATAAAAAAATGCAAAATGTAACAATAAGAAAACATAAACAACAAGAAGATATAAAATGCAAAATGTACAATAAGTGTAATATGTCAAGAAAATTCCTGTGTGGAGTGGAGTGCAAATAGTGATGTGCAACAAAACAAGTACAACAATTTGATGAATTCGATATTGTACAAAAATATGAACGAAAGAAGGAACGTTATCAAATCACACTCCAATACAGTCCCATAGATATGTATAATAAAGGCCTTTATTATGCATATCTATGTGCAGGCCGACTGTGTTCCAGAGGATCCGCCACACCAGCAGGTGGCGGTAGAGCACCAGTTCTGTGTATGCTGACTGAAAGTAAACACCAAAGAAGAAGACGAGGAAGTCGTTTTGTTTCACACGGAAACGACGGACTTGACAACAAGGAGTATTGATCACATTTTGTTATTATCTGTTCACACGTTGCTTATTTTTGTCTACTGACAACTTATTACTCCAGTGCCGCATCAGCACGCATGCGCCGCGTTAAAAGCTGCCGCCGCTAACTACAGCTGCATAGCCGCCGTAAAGCTCCTGTTTGGACCCGACGAGCTGGTTGTGTGAAGGAGCTCGTTTACGTTACATAGAGGAGTTGTCAGCTTCCAGTAAATGGCCTGCACTTTGGAAAAGGTGTTGGGCGACGCTCGGCTCCTCCTCGACAGGCTAAAGGAGCACGACACGGCCGCCGAGGGGCTGATCGAGCAGTCCGGGGCCCTCAGCCACCGGGTGCAGAGCATGAGGGAGGTGGGGAATGCCCTTCCAGACAAGGTGAGCACATCTCAACAAGTTGTTTCAGGGCAAAGGGATTATAACATGTAAGACTCTGTGCTCCAGGCTCAGTCATCCCTCTTTCTTTCTATGCTTACTCCATGTTTCACATCATAACACAGGGCTGTGTGCACTGGAATCAGTCAACCATGTACAGCCATGGTCATATGTAGAGCTGAGCCCTGGGAACCACTGAGCTGGACCAGAGTTGTCAGCCTTCAGCTACCAACTGGAGTTATTTTTAATGCTAATTTTAACTTGTAATAACAATTTTATTTAATAGTAGCTTGGGTCAGTGACCCTTTGAATAGTCCAGGAGAAGAGATGCAGGTGCTGGTGAGGAGAGAAAGTTCACCAGTAAAGTCCCACAACACGACTCAACAAATAAACCACTAATAATAATGAGAACAAACCTGCTGCCTGGAGTTTATAGACAATTTATAGGCACACACTGACATCTGGGGCTACTCATGAAACACCTGAGGACAATCAGGCCTCATGATGCCACTGCTGAACACAGCTACCAACAGATGTAACTGACGCTCTCTTTCACTTTCTCCTCTCAGCACATTGAAGACAGTTCTGAGATTCAGGAGCTCACAAAATACAAGCCTCATGTCCTTCTGACTCAGGAAAACACTCAAATCAAGGAACTACAGCAGGAAAATAAAGGTAAACAAACACCACGCGTGTGATTGTATGGTTGGTGTTTCACATCAGAGCTAACCCTTTTTACGACTTTCTCTGCAGAACTGTGGTTGTCTCTTGAAGAACACCAGTACGCGCTGGAGCTGATCATGGGTCGGTACCGCAAGCAGATGCTACAGCTGATGATGGCAAAGAAGGAGCTGGACACTAAACCTGTGCTGAGCCTCCACGAGGACCACGCCAAAGTACACCCGCTTATTTTTTGCATTTTTAAAATTAAAATGCGCAGTCACTGATAGGGTATGATTTTCTGAAACATCTTGCTGTCTTACTCTCCTCCAGGAGGTGCAGACCCAGCTGGAGCGGATATGCGAGATGGGTCAGGTGATGAGAAGGGCAGTGCAGGTGGATGATCAGCACTACTGCTCTGTGCGAGAGCGGCTCGCTCAGCTTGAGGTGAGCACAGAACCACCAAGAACAAACTGTAGATGTGTTTCTAAGTGAGCCCATGTTTCTTTGGAAGTATGTCTCCAAATAGCACCCTGACACGCAGACATGTGGACAAGATATTTGTGTGGTAAGAGAAGGCGAAGAAATAAATATAAATACAAATACATAGTTCAATAGAATTCAAATCCAGACTTTGACTGGACCAGTCCATCAGTTCCAGAACTCCAGATTCCTTCTTCTTGGTCAGATGGTCTCTGCACAGCTTTGAAGTCTGCTGGACTCATTGTCTTGTTGGTGTATGAACCCACGACCAATCAGGTTCAGTCCAGATGGGACCTGAATCCTACTGAACAAATTTGGGATGTCGTACATTGAAAGATTGATCTTGAAAAAGTTTCAGCTAAAGTAAGTCTGTGGGATTCAGCTTAGAGACTGTCTGGAACTCAGTGACGACAGAGAGACTGTTGAAGAGTTCATAAAGACGATGACAGCAAGAATGCAGCTGTTATCAAGGCCCAAGGAGGCTGTAGAGAAGATTTTTGGTTATTATGTGTGAAAAAGGACTGTTTAGTTGTTTCAGTTTATTTGCCAAATCAATAACATTTATTTTTTTTTTTTTTAGTATTAAACAAGTTTTTGAAAGATTTCTACAATATTTATGTTTTCTTGTTTTTTTATGACAAGTGATGTCATAAATTTGTTCAGCACTGTGTATATATATATATAACTATATATATACTGTATAAAACTTACTAATTAAATGATCCTGAAGAAACGTTCTCTCATCTTGCCTGCACTCCTGTATATGTACAGCAAAATGACAATAAACAAGATTAGCTTTGATCTAGCATAAGATATAAGCACAAGATGGTTACGCATTTTCTGTGCCACTTACTGAATATATGTAAGTTTCCGTGGCAACGCAATGCATTTAATTAGTCTACTCTAACTGAACGGCTTCATACAGTGACATCACTAACGTACGGGTCAGGGGGTATGCAGATAGAACATATTCCCTCAGCTTAGAATCTGTGTCACTTAGAGAGAATGTTCAGGAAAAGAGCTGAGGACAGTGTGGTCCAAACTCTGAACAGAGCCTTCTCTGGAGCAGGACCAGTTACCATGGTGATCTAGCAGGTTAAAAGAGAGGCACCTTCATGCCATTCAACACTTAACAGGCCTCGCTAATACATTCATCCCGCTCTGTCGTACAGCCCTCCAGGCTGCTTAAAGCAAAACTGCATGTACTGCTTGAAGTAAGAAAGTAGATGTTTTGGATAATGTGACATTTCACTCTATCCTCTGGACCATTTATTCTTTAAGTATGTGGTTATTCTGTGTCTTTTAGATTGAGAACAGGGAGCTGCGAGACCTCCTGGCCATCAGCAAGGGATCAGTGAAGACGGCGAGAGAAGAAGCCAACCTGCCAGCAGCAGCAGCACAACAGCAGTCCCTTCAGCTGGGGCCCGACGAGTGACCAGAACAGCCTGAGTGTGAGCTGGTGTGTATCAGGACAAGGAGACAGGGTTGATTTCGTTCTCACCTGTGTTCACCACCACATTTATTTTTTTACATGGATGGATGCAGTCAAACAGCTTTTTTGTTGAGAGAGTCACTTAAACACAGCATCGGGGCTCTCAGAGGCTTTACCACATGATAGCTATCGTAATTATTCACAACTACAGCAAGTGTGTGATCACTGCAGTCGTGTTGGAGCCACATAAACCCTGACTTTAAATCAGAGGTCTTGGTTGACAGTGATGTATTTCAGACACACGCGTCTACTGGATTAAAGGCAGTAAAGGCAAAGGGGATTTCTTTTGTTTTCAGCCAAAGATATATTTTCTTTTCAAGGACACAGTTTCTACCTCTTTGGTGCCCCTTTACTGTTCAAACACAGTCACGATGAGTAAAATCCTTCTAACCACCCTTCTTCTGAGTTCACCTATAATCTGTGGAGAAGCCAACCTGTAGCTCACACCGTGTCAGAGGCCGTGCTCGCTGCCAACACCACGACTTTGGCTGTTTCCGCTGTTTGCCTCCTGAGGAGTGGCAGTGGGACCTTTGTATGTGATTGTCATTTTATGAATTTGATACATTTGTCAGTCTCGATATATGACATGGTTTCCATGTTGAGTACCTTAATCCTGTGTGTTCAGCACCGGTTTTGTAAGTTTCAGATGCAGAGTGATGCAGCTGATGGCACGTCTTTATCAGTGGTAACGATTTCAAAACAGGCCAACCTTTTGTGTGATAAACATGTTTTGCACTGTATGTTGTCAGAAACTATATATTGTCATCTCAGGTAATCAGTGTTAATGAGGTTAACATGCTGTAATGACGTCAGACAGTGTACTGATTTGTGTCAAATGAAATTTCATTCAGAAACTTTGCAGTACAAAACTGTGCATCTGTGAGTTTTTTTCTCTGTCACAACACAAACACACAATAAATGATCCATGAATCAAGCTGCTTCACATCAGACAATAGGGAGCACACAGGTGTGTTAATGACAGCAGCATGCTGGTTCACTGTCACGGTGGACTGACACACTTCATGGACTGACTTATTATTAAAACAAACGTGCTTCCAGACGTCCAGTCCATGTCTGAGTCCAGTCAGAAGTTCTGCTGCAGCCCTGCTGGGCCTGTTCTCAGCTCTACCGCAGGGTGGAGACATGAGGCCGTTATGGGTGGAACTCATCGCGAGGTTTGCGGGAATGGTTTAATGCTGCGTTCAGGGACAAAGTATAAAAAACAACTTTTGTGCCTTCCAGATTTCTTTGTGTACATATACTGAATCGTTGCCACTAAGCCGATAAATTACCGGCTTGTAAGATAAACTATGGCATCATTAAACCTTCTGCCCGTCGCCACTCCTTCGTGCTTCTGCTTTCAGTTCGTAACAATCTATATTTCCGACAGCACGTGAAGCGGCAGCAGAGCTGCGTTTGACATCTCTAGCCGGAGTCAAGCTAACAGTCAGCATGTCTGAGAAGGAGCTGGGGAAAAAGTGGGACCGATGCCTGGCAGACGGTGCCATAAAACTGGGTAAATATCGCTCAGTCTTGTGCGTATACCGACATGGTTATGCCCCAGAATGAGGCCTAAATAGGCAGCAGTTTATAATGTAGTCCACAGCTGTCATTGGGACCAGAAGCTAAGTGGCTAGCTATAAAGGGCTCGTAAAGGACACCTGGATGAGCAGTCCGGTACTCAGGACTGATCACTTCTGATGTTATGTAGTCAATTAGGTTGGATTTTATAGTTTCATTAAAGAGGAAAACCCTCGATGTTTCTGCTCTAACGGCCCTCATTAGTTAGATAATGTAGTCAGACAGAAACCCAGAGGAGCTGCCATCCACAAACAGCTGATCTGATGTTTCTCTGCTAACTTACACCCAAACATTCACCAGGACAGGAATGTAAATGTTGTAGGAATGTTTTTTTTTTGTTCTTGGCTTCAGCACACGTTCAACATTAACATACATGTAAACTGTCTGAGCTTATATTACATGTCAAGGAGGAACACAGCTGACTGGTCATCAGACACACAGGTGGACATACCAAGTGTTGTTAGAAATATAAATATATGTGTTAAAGACGTGACTCTCAGCATGACCGGTGGACTGACTTGTGTTGGTTTGTTGCACTGACTTCCTGCTATGGAGCCTGTATTCTTGCTCTAGTAAATGTAATCTGTTTATAATTGTACACAAGTGTAAATACTATTAATACTAATACTCTATTTTTCAACTTAGTAGCTGTGCAGTTAGAATAGAAGAATAGAATAGAATATAACTTTATTGATCCATTTGGTGGAAACCTCAGGGAAATTGTTGAAGTTACTGTAGTGTTGTACTGTCGAGTCATTTCAGTGATCCTGCACAGAGATGAGCTCACTTTAGTTTAACCCTTAGAGGTTTTTGCATACCTCTAGTTGTGTCTTTATTTACCATAAAAGCATAAAAACGTGTCCACAGTGCTCATGTTTGGTATCTGTTTTTTTTTTTTCAGCACAAAATCACCTATATGATCTATTATTTTTTCACTTGAACCAACTATATTAACATTTTGGGCTCAAAAACACACAAAAAATACAAAACCTGATTTGAAGAAATGTATTATTTATGGTCAGATGTGTGAGTTGGCTGTGGTGACACTGACACGGGGGAAAGTCCTCGAGTTCCCAGCATTGTATATAGATCTATTGTCATATCTACTACATGATACAAAACAACAGAAAGCCTATTTAAAATATATAATCCAATTCATGCTAAAGGCAGCACATGCACATCATATACATGCATGGCACCGTAGCTGTGTACATCAGTAAACTACACTGTCATCTGTGTCCATGTGTTTTCAGGAACCGGGCTGGGTTTGGGGATTGTGTTCTCTGTTCTGTTCTTCAAACGTAAGTAGTCTCACTGGATCTGAAGCTGTACGGCTTCATCAGGCTCTGCTGCAACACACACATGTAGGAGTTGTCCTCTAACAAAGGCACTCTCTTCTGTCCACAGTCTCGTCTTTTCTATCTAGATACATAGATTTGCGGTATTTGTATCGAGTCAAGTGTTTTTGTAAAAACAACAAGAGTTAAATCAAATTGCTGTAAAGTTAAATTAGCAAACCATCAAAACAGTGGAAACCACAGTATTACAGGCATACAGACTTATATTATAACTTGTAATATTACAAACACCTATCCTCAGCACAGAATGGAGCACGTATACATTAAAGTTAATTAAAGAAATGATAAATAAATACTATTAAATAAAAACAGACTGGTGTTTTTAATGTACTGTGATGGGTTTACATGAAGTACCTTCTCATTGTAGGGCACACATGGCCGATTTCGCTTGGCTCAGGAGCAGGACTTGGCATGGCATACGCCAACTGCCAGAATGACCTGAGGTCACACTATCTGCTACACAAAAGTGAAAAGGTTGGTTGTAGATCTGCTTTTGTTAGAACTTGTGTCTCTTGTTGTGAACGAGTGGAAAAACTCACTAACTTTGTTAATAACTGTGTTCGTTAAGATTTATACAAGTTGTTTCTGTTTTCTTCAACAGGAGCAATAGCTGCAAGTCATCAAGGGACTGTCGTTTTTTAATTTTTCCATCATTTTGTTTGGTTTTGTTTTGTCTGTGGGAGCGTCACCATTTGCACTGTTCTGCAGTTAGACTCTGTCTCCCTGTGGACGATCCTTCCCTTGTATGACTCTGTATGATCTGTGTGTGCCTGATCAGGACAGTCTGTGTTTATTTAATAAAATAATCATTACAAAACAATGTGTGACGGCTTGGTGATGAATTGTTTCACAGATCCTTCGTAAAGGCTGAAAATCCTGTAGAACCACATTGAACTGAGTAGTACAAAAAAACAAGTGTTGTGTAATGAACTGTAACGGCTAGAAAATATTCCATTCACTCCAAGTGGCAGGGAGTCGAGTGTTAATGCAGATTTAAAAAGGTGGGTTTTCAGTTTTTAAAAAATGAGTTCAATGGTGGGGAAAGGTGGGGACAGCGATGCAGTCCCATGAAGTGGTGGGTGGGTGTGGGTGGGAAGGTCGTGGCAGCAGCTGGTCCGATGTGGCGGATGACAGCGGCGTGGGTTACCATCGGCAAGGCTGTTGAGATGCTGCAGCTCTCAGGACGTCACCCCCACGGATGCTTCTGTTGCGTTCTGTTTTGTATTCAAGTGTTTCTGCTGGGAGGTGAAGTGTCCTCAGTGATGTTCCACCATCAAGGTGTAAGAAGGGATCTGAGGTGAAATGTGAAGTGTTTGATTTTCACAGCAACTGTAGAAAGAAATAAAAAAATCCAAACAAATTCAAGACAAAGTTATTTACTCAGAGGAAGCAGATTTCAAAGCACTGACTGACCTTGGGAGCAGAGTATAAAACTACAAGACATATCCAGTGTTATTCACTATTATAAATCATTAAAACATGCAAGAGAGTGAATATTTTTATATAGAGGTTACTTTTCTGAAGACATTAAATTGTCATTAATAATCAATATTAACTTAAACACTTAATACATCATTACATTTGACACATAACACAAGAACAACACACGTTGTCAGAAAAATAAAAGAAATGCCAACAGTTACACTTCAGTAGTTAAAGACATCATGGCCAAACAAGCCAGAAGCCCACCCACAGCAGCTCCTGTGATCTAGAAATTACCATATCTTGTTGTGATTGTGCATGGTTATGCATTAACAGCTCAATGCTTCGACACACTCCTTCTCAGTGGCTGTGCGCTCAGGCAGGGAGGCACACTGGAGTGGCCGACACGGGGATTAGCAGGAGCGAGGATGTAAAGGCAGCCTTGCAACAACCGTGATACCTGTAGAGCACTTATGAACAGAGCCCTGCTTACAAATGACTGTCGCACAGTTCTGTGTTGTGTTTCTGCTCCCCTGTGCTGCATCCCAGAATAAAAGGACTTGTGGAAAGGCAGCACAGCTCGAGATCAGCAGAGGACTTGCGGAAGCGGCACAGATCCACTTCTGTGAGGTGAGCTGTGTTTCTGAGAATTGCTCGTTCTCTTCATCTTCAGTGGATCCTCTCAGCGCCACTGTGCTCGTGTGCCTAGTCAAAGCTCATCTCTCTCTCTGTGCCCTCCTCCAGAGCCTGTCATCAGTGTGACATGCTGCTTCGAAACCCTCTGTCAGCTATCGAATGGCTCATTCTGGCTCTCCACTGTGGATGAGGCAGAGACACGCTGACCAGCATGGAGACATGAGGGGGACAGTGTTGGTGATCTGGATCGTTTTACTGGTGGCAGTACAAGTAAGTCCAGGACCTGGATGTATTCCTGCCAGAGGGAGATGGAGATACTTAACCATGGAGAACAAGCTTGTTAACCGTAACAGGAAAAGCTTTGGATGGCTTCTCAACGCAACAAGTCAGTGGCTTCTGTTTATCCGACAACGCTCCTCATGTGTGAGCTTTAGCTGAGAAGGACAACTGGTCAAGGTTTGTAGCATTTGGTGGAGCCTGAAGAGGAACCTTCAGGAGCTGGTTCTTTGATTGTTGGACACCATGGCTGACTCTCACTTGTCTGGCTCCATAGGAAGCTACAACAGCAGTTTCCCCACCGCCAACGCTTGGAGCATCAATGGCAGTGGTCCATGGCTGTTGGCCTTCATGCTGACCATCATCATCCTCATGACCGTCTGTGGTAACATGTTGCTCATCGCTTTGGTGTTTGCACATCGGTCTCTGCGCTGCACCTCAAACTGCTTCCTGGTGTCTCTGTTCTTGTCTGACCTGATGGTGGCGCTGGTGGTCATGCCCCCAGCCATGCTCAACGTGCTTTGCGGGGCCTGGGTGCTGTGGCCCGCCTTCTGTCCAGTTTGGCTTTGCTTCGATGTCATGTGCTGCAGTGCATCCATCCTCAACTTGTGTGTGATCAGTCTGGACCGTTACCTCTTCATCATCTCGCCGCTGCGCTACAAGCAGAGGATGACGCCGCCTCGGGCACTACTCCTGGTCGGAGCTGCTTGGGGGTTGGCAGCGCTGGCCTCCTTCCTGCCCATTGAGATGAGATGGCACAGCTTAGGCCACAGGAGTGGACACTCGTTGATTCCTGGGGTTGGCATCAGTAATGTCAGCGCCTACTCCGACAAACTGTACCCAGAGTCCTACTTTCAGCTGTCACCGTCAGGAGGCCCTTCCTTCCAGTGCCGCCTGAGGGTCACCCTTCCCTTTGCCCTTGTTGCATCACTGCTTACCTTCTTTTTGCCCTCTAGCGCGATTTGCTTCACATACTGTCGAATCCTTCTGGCAGCACGGAGACAGGCGAAGAGGGTTGCTGCACTGAGCCACCCTCCCCACCCACATCCATCTCTTGGAGAACCCTCCCGGCCTCCTTCGCCGGGGGTCGCAGCAGGTCAAGCTCAGCAGGACGGTGATAACTGCAGTCACCAGAATGTACCGGTAAGAAAGAGAGTCCAAACAGTACGACAGAGCAGCCAGTGCACTGAGGGTAGCCGGTGTATGTCTAAAAGAAACACCGGAGACTTTTGGAAATGCTTGATCAGATCAGAAATGGTGCTGAGAAGCAAACCTGGACCTTACTGAGAGTAGGAGTTGAAAAGGTTTATCGGTCGAGCCCCAGCTCATCTTTTCCTTGAGATTATTAAGGCTTCACATAACAGTGTTCATTCATGTGTCTCAGGCTATTCTGTAAAACGTGTACTGCAGAAATCCACCTCTACATTCAGTAGCAGCTAACACGGTTATGGCTCCAATCAAAGGACAGGAAATTGCAAGCTACACAAACATAAAAACTCAGCCTTCAAAAGTACTGCTTAAATGTGGAGGTTTTTACCCAGTTGATAAGAAGGTCTCTTGACAGAGAAAAGACCTTGTGGTGGTTTTAGAGGCTGTTGCTACAGGGATGTCATTGAAGAGCAACCCTTAAAGAGCAGGATTTCAATCAGCACCGGGAACGTATCGCAGACTGTTTACCGGCCGTCTGCAAGGACGGTTGTAAAGAAGTTCTTCTTTTCTTCTTGCAAATGTGAAACAACAGAAGTTCCAGGCTGTGAATAGAATTGCAGTATATACAGTATGCTGTGTTGAATAAATAGTAGTGTAGGATATAGAAGTGAACAGTTTTGCTTTTCAGTAATTCTTGCAGCAACAGAAAGTATAAAAGCAGCCTCGTAGTCTGTCACGTTGTCACTTAAACCTTAACTTCTAACTTTCACATCGACCCTATTTACACTTTTATTTATTCTGTGCGCTAATGTGTTTCAATACTGAACTCTTTTATGGCTGAATGTTTTCCACACGTTTCACCCAAAACTCAGTCTGACACATTCTGGAGAACTTTAAGTGAACTAAACTGATTTTCAACAAACTGCCGGTCTGTAAAGGTCTGCCCACCAAGCAATGACGTTTAATGCGTTCATACCATTTTTTCCTTACATGACTATTCTTAAAGTAAAATAGAAAAGTAACAGCAGCACGACTGGTTTCCTCAAGTCACTGGTGCTGATCGAAGGCGATGATCATTAAGGAAGGCACAAAAATGGCATGAAAAATCCACGTCAAGTCCTTTAAGGTAGGTCTGAAAAGTAGAAGGTCTTTATTTCAGAGGCTAGAGACATTAAAAAACACATCAACGTCTGCTGACTTGTGCCTTCTTTGGGATTCACACACAAATGTTTGAAGTTGTGTCGTACGGTCCTGCCCACCTAATGTCACACAGCTTTATAGAATATAATGTTTATAATAATGAAATATAAAAGTCCTGAATCATTTCCTATACAACCTGTAGCAAAACAGGCTGTTTATTGTCATAGAATAATGTCATAATCCTGTTTTTTGTCATAACGAAATTCTCCGAAATTGATTCCAGGAATAACTTTTACCCGTTTAAAGTCGTGGTTGGCTGATGGTTACTGCTCATGGCCGAGTGTCGGTTATCACATCCCGGTCAGCCGCCAAAGGCAACGTGCTGGTTTATTACCTGCTCACCTGAGATCTGCTCACTGAGTTATTCACACTGTCTGACATTAATTAGGGCACATTGTTGCAGAGCATGTCGTCGCTCATAACTGACCTGCTCAGCTAATTAATGCTGATAATTTCATCCTCTGTTTACCCTCTGATTAAAGGAAATTACTTTTATCGATGGGGTGACTTTTTTGTTTTTTTACTGAAGCAAAACCATGAAGCTCCGTTTGAATCAACATTTCTTTATCTTCAGAGAACCCGTCCCTTGGTCTGGTGAAAGCATTCCCATTTTGGCTGTGTTTGGTCACACAGACACAGTTTGTCTCAGCGCTCTATCGTTGGGATTGAAGCCGGCTCATTGGAACATCCCGGATACAGTCATAACTCCATCCTGGACCGAGGGTGTGATCATAAACGGGCAGCACAGTGTTAGCATCTGTACTGAATTAAGACGTTAGAGGAATAGTTCAGCATGTTGGGAAGGTCTCTGCTGACATCTTGCCCTGTCTGATTCCCACTGATAACCCCTGTACCAAGTCTAAACCATTCGCCCTTCATTGTACAAACAGAGCACTGGCTGTGGCATCTTTTATATTAATAACAACATCCACTGTGTTTCTGATTAGTGGTACTGTAAATAATTTCCCACTGAGGTAATATTGCACAAGGGCTTCTGTGTATACGGTAATTCTCAGCAAGGAAGTGACTTCCAAAACAATTAACAACTCCTTTTATTTAATCTACACATTTGCTAAAAAAAAGAGCTTCAAGCAAAATGCATGAAGAAAGTCTATATGCATTATAATGATTTAATTCACTTGTCAAAGGGACAAAAAGGAGGCCCGGGGCAGTTTCTGCAAAATGCCTTTGCAGCAAAACAGCATTTATGTTGTCCTGGGATTAAGGCTTTCTGTTGTTCTCTGCTGTCCACAGCCTTCAGTGAACATCGAGCGTCGTCTGGCCCACAGGCAGGGTCGGAGGGCACTGAAGGCCAGCCTGACGCTGGGAGTCCTCCTGGGACTGTTCTTCAGTGCTTGGCTCCCCTTTTTCATCACTAACATGGCTCAGGTGAGTAGAGAAACCAGACACTGACTACCTAACCCTAACCCAGGAGGTGGTCAGTGTTATAATGTCAAGTATATGTTCGATATGTGTGATCGGAGGAGCTGGGAAAGACAAATAGCTTCATCCATCTCTCTGGTTAGCCTTCATATATACATGCACATGCAGCTGCTGTTTCTTCACCATAAACATTTGCAACAATTTCTGACACCATTTTTAAACTCTCCTGTTTCACATATCAGTGATTCAGTGGTTTTCTCACAAATTTATATGCGTGGTGGGCACAAAAAAGAGTGTGAAATAAATGCAAAAGGAAGAAAGAAGGAGAGAAAAACACTTGGATACCGATCTATTTCTGTATTGGCCAGCCTGGGCGTCACAGCCTCACCAAGCTATCTAAGGAGGAAATAAATTGGCATTTCAGCTTTGTGTGGCTGACTCACTCCTAACCCCAGAAAACAGCCTACTGAAGCACCGTTTATAATTGTTATTCTTTTTAGCTTGTTGATTTTGATTTGAATAGACCGAACACACGCACTCATTACTCAGCGAGCAAACAAGCGAGGCCACGAAAAACCTCAGCGAGACTCAATAAATGTCAAAAAACAGCTTAATCTAAATTGGTAATGACACTTATCCTGTTTTTCAAGCTTTCAGTGATCCAGTCATTTTGATTTCCCATCTGTGCCCTCTCGCTTCTCCCCTGCACAGCGCAGAGCGGAGCGGAGACTCGACTGTGTCTGCGCTCTCCTTTCTTTTCACACTCAATGTGGTGTGTGAAACGCACCCCCCCTCTTCTGTCCTATTCCCACTGCCTCCCATCTCATCTTGGTAGTATTGGAAGTTCTCCTCTAACAGCTGTCTCCTCCTTCACTGTCGCTCTCTCAATCTAGTGGATGTATTCAAGATCGGTGTTCAGTCACACACAAACGGAAAATTACATGCAATAGAAGAAGCAGCGGACGGCCTGTGTGATTAGCGAGAAAGGAAATGAATAATTGTTCCAAATGATATAAGAATTAACGAGGGCTATACATAAATGAATGTATTAGAGGTTATGTTAAGTCCTAGTAATATATTTTGCATGTATTTATTTATTTATTTATGCACAAGCTGTATCATGAATTAAACTAGGTTTTCTGATTATTTCCAAACTCAGCTATTTAAAATTCGCCATTTCTAGTACACATCCATCCATCATCTCTACATCTTAATCCTCACTACGGTCATGGGGGGCTGGAGTCTATCCCAGCTGACTCAGGGTGAAGGCAGGTTCACCTGGACAGGTAACCAGTCTATCACAGGGCTACACTTAGAGACAGACAACCAAGCACACTCACATTCACACCTACGGACAATTTACAATCACCAATTAACCTCAGCATGTTTCTGGACTGTGGGAGGAGGAAGCCAGAGAACCCGGAGAGAACCCACGCTGCACGGGGAGAACATGGAGACTCCACGCAGAAAGATTTGGGACGCGAACCGGCGACCTTCTAGCTGTGAGGCGACGGTGCTAACCACCGCTCCACCATGCAGCCCCAACATTCAACCACTGGAACTAATTTTTCTGTTCAGGAATGCAAGTAAATAATTATAATCTGACACCTTAATTAAGAAATAATAATGCGCCTTACTATTTTTTCAGTTTTTTGTAAATTAGAAAATTAATGGATAACAATAATAATTATATTTTAGCATTAAAAATGTCATTTTGGTTACAGAGCTTCTACATACGGGTGTATTAACTGTTACAGAAACATAAAATATGATTGTGGTTATTATCAATGCTGTTAATTTAGGACAGCTGTGGCGTAAACCTGACGCTGGGTGGAGGTCTAATACATTGTTAAGCGCTGTATGTTCACATTGTGTGTCCTTCCAGTTCTTTGTTGAATATTTTAAATTGTGTGCAGTGCATATCCACTTTGCTTGTTTGCAGTCTTTTGTTGATGCATTCCTGCCATCATGTGTGTAAATGTTTAATAATTACAAGGTGCAGCACTACAGGTGGCCAAAGCAATGCAGGGTGACTTACAGATTACATTCTGGTGTATTTACTTCATCGCTTTTATTATTTACACACTTTCATTGGCACAAATGTCCGTCCTTACAGAGGAAACTTCATTTTGGATCACTTCTTTACACGTTTGCGAGCGTCTTCCAGCATCTTGTGGTAGGCGTTTGCTTCGTCTGTGCTCGATGTTGCTTTGTTCAGCTTCAGGAACATGATAACTGCAAGTAAACCTTGCCAAAAATGACAGAGCTCATAAATCTTAAAACAGGCAAAATACAGCTCAAATGAACAAATAAAATTGTAGGATTGTGATATATTTACCACCGAATGTTAGGATGTGTCAGTCCACATCATGTTCCCAATAGGTCTCTGCTTTCTGTATTTATGTTTTACCTAAATGATGCCTTAATCTCTGCAACACTTGTCACGCTCTTTCTCCAGGCAGTGTGTGAGTGCATCCCCCTGGCGCTCTTCGACGCCATCACCTGGCTGGGCTACTGCAACAGCACCATGAACCCCATCATCTACCCGCTGTTCATGAGAGACTTCAAGCGAGCTCTGGGGAAGCTCTTGCCGTGCTGCTCCTCGCGGTCGCCCAGGAGACCCTCGCCAGCTCTTTCCCTCTCGCTGCGTAACTCAGGAGAGCCCAACATGGCCAGTAACCCCCCCTCGCCCCTGGCCTCGGACCCCACCCACCCTCCTGCCACCGCCACCGACGCCGTCAACCTGCTGGACGCCGAGCATGCTGGGATTGAGCTGCCTCTGCTTCTACCCAATCAGGTCGACACCCTGGACTGAGCGGTCAGCTGGAGCTTCAGTGGAAGAGTGACCGCGGCTCATATCATGTGCTGACTGAATGTAGAATCACATTTAAAATCTCGGTCTGTAAACACAATACTTGTGCTCTATCTTTAACTGTGCTTCTTTCTAACACACAGTTCGAGATGTGCCTTTAAACACATTCCGTATAAACCAAGGCCAAGACTAATTCAGATTATCAGTGCCAGCAGCATACAACGTGACTAAACCCTCCAGTCGGTGGTTCATGTCAGTGGAGGAGGACAGACAAAAGGATGGCCTTGAAGAACACACATTCGCTGAATTGGCCCCAGCCTGATGGAAATCACATTTCTGTGATAATATCCATAGCAACCAAGCCAACGGAAGAAAACACGGACAAAAGGAACAGAGTTGTCGCCTAGTTTGCATCATTCACTTGGATCATTTGCAGCTATTTAACTTCATAGCAAGTTAAGAAAATAGAATCTGACCACATTCACAGTAAAAACAAAGTGGGTCACAAAATTCTCCAGTTACTGAATTAATAAATCTAAAATCTCCTTTTAGCAACTAAACCAAGCGGCTAGCTCTGGGGCCTGTTGCTAGGCGCTGCCATACGTGTGCATTGAGTCTCGTGCAGTCTCTGGCATGTCGGCGTGCTGAGGATGGAAGGAGTATTTTCTCCAACAAAGCTCTGATGCTGCAACAAAAAAAAAAAAAACTTGAGAAGATGAGAGTTTACAAGGAAGCAGCTGGTCCTGTAACATGCTCTTTACAAGTTTGGCCGCCTTTACTTGTGTGAGTGCTCTGTGGTCCAGTGTGTGTCGTCCCAGCTCCACGATACGTGTTCGTCATCCACATTAGCCTCCTCTGTGCTGTCACAGTTAAAATCAGATGCTGCTGCGTTATTGTCCTCAGAGGTAGGTGATGAACTGTTTGGGACTGCGATGTGACCGTTTGATTCTGCATCATGTGATGAGCCCAGCAGGTCTGAAATATCAGGGATATCCCACCCATCACCCGTCTCCTCCAGCTCCTCTGTCACATCCCGGCTCTCCTGAGTACCAGTCTCCGTCTCCTCAGCCGGGTTCTGTGTGTTGGTCACGTGTTGCTCGTTAGCTGTTTGGTCGACGATGTCCGCTGTCCCATCTGTAACCGCTACGGACTGAGGAAGAGCAAAGGAGGCTCCTGGGACTTCTTTGGTGGGAACTCCTACTGCGACCAGGATGGTTTCCATCTGACGCATGTAGTCCAGGTGACCCTTCACCTGGGAAGCAGGATTACAGTTCTGTCACCCAGGGTTTAAAAACGCTTCATATTTCTTTGTCAAGCACAGTATACACAATGTCCTTTTCTTAAGAAGAGTTTACTGCTATGTACAAATGTTTTCTTTCATTTATTTATTTATTTTTCCCTACAACAGATTGTTCTGTATGACCTGAGGCAGGTTCCATGAAGCCAGTTTACCAAATAAGTCAGACTCATTTCAGTTATTCTGACTTATTGTCCAGTTATTTTGGTTCCAAAAGGCAGATTTATCATAGTTGAAGGTCAGTAAATGAGCTTCACCTTTACATACATGTGAACAGACATATTTATGTCTATCATACATCTATATACGTGTGTGCAGCTGACATTTCCTGTAGATTGAGACTTGGCAGGAACAGCGTGCATGCTGTGTTTTTATTAAAGTGAATCAGTGATGAATCAACAGCGTGCAGCCCCCGACGATGAAGACACCGAGAAACAGAAATGCTTTGCAGAAACAAGAGCCAACAATAATTCACAGCTCATACACCAGGGGAGCTCCTATCTCTTTACTCTTGACTTCCTGGACTGGATTTATTCAGGTTGCATCATAATATTTTATAACATTTTAGCGTAGCTGCCATTCAGCCAATCAGCAGCTTCTTACAGCCTTTCTCTGTGGTTTGGTTTACAGCAGCCACACGACCTTTTCTAGATGTTTGACTCCGTCACATGTTTCTAATGTTAGTGTCCTACCGCTGTTTGTTACGTCCATCTGATCCATGCTCCACCTCTAGAGCTGCTAAAGAACTGCTAGCAGATGATCTCAACAACTCGATTGCTTGAACTTCAGCTAACCTTCATGGAACCACTTTAGCTGCAACCGATGTTTTTGGTTGATTCAAGTCAGGTGTTGAACTAAAAGTTCTACTTTTCCCGGCAGCTTTGTGGGAACAGGCCCCTGGTGCATTTCAAGTATGTTCTTACTGTTCTTTTCTAAATGTTTTATTGTGCAAAAATGTGAACGCTCTGATGCTTTATCCGGTTCATTCAGTAAAACGGGTGGTAGAAAGGCATTGCTGTGAACTAAAACAGACCAGCAGGGGCCTTATTTTTATTAGCTTTTAACTCTTTTGAAGCACAAATGCAAAACAGTATTTCATACAACAACACAACAGAAACTATATCTCAGTGTAATATTGTCTTCTCTTGTTTGTCAACAGTTTTTTGTATTAGACTAAAATAAACATTTCTTTCAATAATCAACCGCTTTATATGAACAATGGGTACGATGACTGTGTGTGTGATGTGCATGATGTCCCTGAGTCAGAATCTAACAAAGGACTCCTACCAGACTCTTCTTTAAGTGTGATGTGAGTCTGTCAGGTTTATGTTTGAGCTCCGGTTCGCTCTCACTGCTACCATACGCCTTGTTTCCAGAAGCAGTGAGCAGCTGTGTCCAGTGAGATCGTCTCTACAGCGACTAGCTGGTGACCACAGCGGTGTATCAGCTGAGATTTAAGGAGCCACGTTTCCCTACTAACCTTACAATGAGCCTTTCAGGGTCATATATCTGTGTAAACTGTGCAACCCTTTAGAACTGCCAGACATGAATATTGCAGAGCAGCTACAAACAAGTCTTTTTCAGTATTGCTGCATCTCTTTTGTCACTAGTGTCACGTAGGAATGAGCCACTTCTGTCCCCGCTTATAGACACAATGAACAAAAGTAATGCTGAACCCAAACTGAAGGTGAGAACATCAGAAGGTTAAACAACCCTCAGTCCATTTACTTTCAGCTGAATGTACTAACTTGATCCTAAGCTATGACTCACCACGGAGGAAAGATCCACATTGATTATGCGCCGATCCTGGATGTTGATTGGTTGTAGCCCAGCAACAGACAGTTGTGCAGCTGAGCTTCGGTACAAGAACCCGAGGAGCCAGTCCCCTCTGATAGGTAGATAACGCAGAGTCACATATTCACTTTGATCATTAAGCTTGCTTTCAAGGCATTAGTTGCAAAATGTACTGCAGTCAAATAATGGACCTCCCTCCCTAAACAGTGGGTTCATCACAGCCTTAAAGCATCTGTTCTGCTTTACCTGCAGTATCCGTTGACTATTTTCCCAGCCACAACCCTTGTCATTCTCTGCCAGGCCTTCTCAGATCCATCCACTGGGGCCCCCAGGAGGATCACATCCTCCACGACTCCTTCACTGCCTGAGGATCCAAAAACAGCACGGAATAATGTAGTTTACCAGAACAAAATAGGGATGTAAAGATATTATCCATCAACACAGCAGTTTCACTAATAACTCAGCAGAAAAGACAAGGATGACTGTGTTCTGTTCAGTTTTTTAAAATCAGAATCTCATCCCAGTAACATCTCACACCTTGGTCACTGGCCAGCTCCTGGAGACAGTAGTAGATCACTCGGGCTCCGAGACTGAAGCCTATGAGGCTGACGGGCCGCTTCCCCTTCACAAACGGAAAGAAAGAGAACAGTAGCTTCCACTTTCTTAAGTTATTTGATCAAATAATAAAGCAATATTTAAGGTCAACCAATGCAATTTTCATTTAAAGTTGCGTTGTGATATTCAAGCAGAAAAATCAAGGGAGTAAAGAACAGAAACATCTTGGTTAAAACGAATCTAAAGCAGTTACTGATGTGTACACAAGCACCACAGGTCAGGCCCATGTTGCATGTCATATACCCTCTTCCTATCTATCACTGCTGCACCTGTCAAGTTAAGAAACATGCTACAAAAACATGAAATAACAATAAACAGTAAATGTGTACATAAGATATACAGTCAAGCTGCTTTCTAGACAGAGAGCAGATTGTACCACACTATAGTAAAGTACAGGAGTTAGAGGTGGTATGATACCTGCTGCCTGCTTCTCAGAACCTGCGCCAGGTGTTTCCCCACTTCAGCTGAGCGGTTCAGACAAACACACCAGGGGTGGTCGATGACGCTGGCCGCTGCCAGCAGAGACGCAGGCCACGTCAGAGCCGTCACAATACCTGAACAGTGGAAAGTACATGAACGCAGCATCAAGCAACGTGTTCAACAGACTTCACAGGCAATGATCAGAGCGAGTGCTGGGCAGCTCCAAACCACAGCATTGACTCACATCCCACTCCACTCACTACACATCTAGTGAGGAAAGAAGGGATTCCTCACCTGACAGCACTGTGTATTTGAGGGCTTCCTGGGCCACCATGCTGACCAAGCCGTCCAACAGAGAGGCCATCGCTGATCCCAGATCCCTGAGAAAACGTGACTCCCACACCAGGCAGTACTGTTCACCGCACTCGCCCAAACTGCACCAGGGGGCCTGGAACGAACCTGGAACACAGCAGTCGTGTTTTCATATGAGGAAACAACTAAGCAGCTCTTGTACGTGTTTTTTCAGCTACTGGAAATGTAGAGGGCACTAAGCCTGTAGCTGGGTGTATGTTTTAGTGGTGAACGAGAGCTACGTGGTTTTATGTAAAAAGCAAAATCAAAGCGGTTTGTCTGCATAACTTTAGGTGGACACTCTGTTGGTATAGTTTCAGAACATCATGTGAAGAACTCTGCACAGCTTTTCATTCATTACTATTTAAAGCACTATGTAGCTGACCTAGATAAGACCCTAAACCTCTCACTGAACTGGACAAAAACATGGAGACAACGAAATACAAGCAGATCACAGTAAATGTGTTGGACTCGCTATGTTGGTGGTGGATTGTGTGCATAAGTATATGAAGGCCGTGGTACTGACCCGACTGGATTTATTCAGTGCTCTGTAAAATAGACTATTCACTGTTCAAAGGTCAAAGTGTTTAACATGGTTTCAACACACACTTTGTTGAGTCCACTGCGTCTGTAGAGCTACGTGGTCTGGCACGTCTACAGATTAACACATGAAAGCACTTTAGGAGTACACTTTCAGGTTTAATGTCCAGAGCTCTGACAAAAGTATGAGAGACACAGAGATCATGTGGTGGCAGATAGTTATCCACTCCTGTTATAGTGACATGAAGCATACGTCAGCTCTGTAGTCGTCAGCAGCTGCTCTCCATGATATGCCGTTTGGATTTAAACGTACTGCTCTTCTTTGATGTCGGCTACTCTTGGCCGATGATCACACTCTGATGCCAATGACCTCACTTTAGAAAAGCAGTGTTGTAAATGCATATTTAAATACAGTCGTGACTCAATAATCCGACACTAAATGTAAAACCTTCTTCTATGTCGGATAGCAAGGCTGTCGGATTGTCGAGACGGAGGTCCAGATACAAGGAGGGCTTGATGCTGGAAGGCTCATTAGTTGTTAATTATTGTTCATAGTTGTTATAATAACTAGTAGGGCTGGTCCCAATAACATTTTCTGCTCTCTGGATATTTAGGCCCAATTAATGATGAATATCAGAATATTCGTCCCGGTTGGGGGACACTTCCACCCCGGGGCAGCGCTCCTACGGGGTGGAAGTGTCCAGAACACACAGGCAGTACTTGGCTGCTGATGCTAGTTTAGTTAGCGCTCACACTTCTGTTTCCTCCATCGGTGGCGGCGGGGGAGTGGCAGATACGCTCCACCGTTACCATCCATGTTTACTTCCATAAACACTGAGCACGCTCGCTGCGTGTGACGTCGTCGTGTCCTCTTCTGCGCATGCGGGACACTTTTGGCTCGTATGAAGTTCACACAGCAGATCACATACAAGTCGCATTGAACTGGAAACGTGAAGGAAGTCACAAAGAAATCCTCATTGAGCATCAAGTCCTGCAGTGTGAACGTAGCCAATCTGTGGGATTGTTCAGTCAGATAATACGCCGTCATCCTGATTGGTGACATTAAATGTCATGTTGGAGTCAGAATCCAAGGCTGTCGCTATGTTAAGGCTGTTTTTATGGGTTCTGTTGGTTTTTCCTAAAAACCTGTCGGATAGCAAGGTTTAGGATTGTTAAGGGTCAGATTATCAAGTCAGGACTGTATTTTAATTATTTATGAACAATGTACTGCAAGTAAATGTGCTTAAAATAAATACACATGAAACTCTAAAGCAACTTCATATATGTTCACTGATGCAGAAGGTACAGCAGAGGCAAAATACTGGATACTGTGCCCTTTATTATTGTGCTATTGTGTCAGGACATGCTGGCAATCAATAAGGAGCGTGTCTTCATGAGAACATTGAATTAGAAAGAAAGGAAGATGTATAGGGTCTGTAGTCCATGGACTATACCACAAGCTCTGTTGATAGTGCCAAGTATATTGTGATAAAAGTTATTTTCTAAATTGCCCATTTCTAATTATTGGAAACTGGCAGTGGCTGTAGTGAGACAGCAGAAGCCGTACTTACTGTATTTGCCACTACAGAGCCAGCCAGTCACTGCGATGGTCAGGTGAAGATGCTTCCCAGAACTCAGTGGCAGGAATTCAAATTCCTCTATCGCCCCAATGCACTTGTTCATCTTATAGCCTGGAGAAACCAAAAATGAAATAATGGCAAAGAGAAGCAAACGTCTAGCTTTTCAGAATCTATCAAAACCATGTTTATCAAGTTTAGAAAAAGAATTTGCAGATAACACCTTTACAACCATCCAGTGTTCTTACCGGTCAGTCCAGCCCCTGCTGCTCCAAACAGAGAGGCCATGATAGCGATGCCAGTAGCTGAGCCCAGAGCAGCAGCACCTCCAGCCCCCAGCACAGCACCGGCTCCAGCTGCCAGCAACGGAGCAGCCAGCCCACCTGTCACACCTGGCAGAGGCAACAAGATGACAGTCAGTACAGAATACTAAAGCTACTCCGTGCCAATGTGACAGAGCTTAAGGAAACTCTAAGTGTTGAAGGTGTGTGATGATGCATTATGTCTGCATGAACTCTTCTGATAAAGTTCTGTGATGATTTCATTATCGCTTGATCAGGTCTTCAACTGAAGCCCATGATTCCACAAAAGACAACAGATGTTTCAAACGCCCTGAACCGAAGCAGGAATACTCACCAATCATGGTTCCTCCACCCACAGTAGCCAGTCCAATGAGGAGGTAACGCCGTAACTTCCGCCCTCGTTCTCTCCTCAGCCGCCTCGAGGACTCCTCTCTAGGAAGCAGAGGGACACGAATCATCCGTATGACTAGAAATAAGTGTGTCAGATGAATCTTCAAGATCATTTAAGGCGACACTTTGAAAACAATGAGCTGCCTGGTTATGCCACAGCAACCTTAATGCCATAATGACTATATATACACACAATAGAGTCCAGATCTGGCAGGACCTGAGCTGGAATAAGATCATCAAATGGTCCCAGCAGAGGCTACATTTCCTGAGGAAGCTGAAACAAGCCTCTCTCCCTGCCAGCATCCTCAGGACTTTCTACAGAGGTGTGATGGAGAGCGTTCTGACATCCTGCATCTCCACATGGTCCTCCAGCTGCAGTGTGTCAGACAGAAAAGCCCTGCAAAGGGCAGTTAGAGGAGCTGAGAGGGGCATCAGAGTTTCCCTCCCCTCTGTCCAAGAACTTCTCCAGAGCCGCTGCAGGAGCAGAACCCTGAACATTGTCAGGGACTCCTCACAGCCTCTCTATGAACTGTTTAAACTGCTGCCATCAGGCAAACGTTTCCGGAGTGTTAAAGGAAGAACCTCCAGAATGATCAACAGCTTCATGCCACCAGCTGTCAGAATGCTGAACTGCTGATCCAGATATGCAATCACTTCTTTATCTAATTGCTTTGAGTTACTGGATCCTGAAGAAGCTCCCTCTCATCCTGCCTGTACTACTGTTTGTGTACAGCAACATGACAATGACATGTAAACTCATCCAGCCGTGACGTACTCGCTCTCCTCTCCTCCTTCCCTCAGACTCTCTCCCAGCGACTCCTCAAAGTCCTCCAGCTGCTCGGGAGAGACTCGCAGCAGACAGCTGACATGACGGATGAGAACCCTCGCTCTGGCATCATACTGGCCTGCCAACGCGACACGTCATTGGAGTTTAAAAATAAAAAGCTTTTATGAATTCATATCAACTTTTGAAGTTGTTCGTTCTTAAAAGAGTCTCACCGTCTTTGACAGAAAAGGACACCAGATCCTGTAACACAAAGGTTAGAGTCAGCGTGATTGTGGAAAGAATATCATTTCTTTAATGTTGTTAAAGACAAATAAACAAGCTTTGTTGTTGTATTTTGTAGTGATTACAACATCATGCATCTATAGACCTGCATATGATTCATATATATTCTATGTAGATCATTTAAATGACAAATGATTCAAAACTGTATCACCTTAAAGTACCTGTATTGTTTCAGTTTTTAATATATTTTTTGCCTTTGTTCAGAGCATTTCTACCTTTTATGTCCTTGCACTGCTCTGATCTTAAGGCAGTACCTGTATGATGGGGGTGGCCCCTACAGCCAGCAGGGGATCCGCCTGCAGGATGGACAGGAAGGTGTCCGAGCCCTCGAAGCCCAAGCCCGACAGGAAAGCACCCATGACCGGCATCACGGACTCATCCAGGTCCAGCCAGCGGACCAGAGCCTGCAGGTACTGCTCCCTGAACACACTGACAGACAGAAGAGGCAAGAGGTCTTCAGCAGGTCCACACGTCTCTGAAGTACAGACACACAGAACCTCCATGATTGTGCTACCTGTTTTCAGATCCAGTAAACAACTGACCCAAGGAGACGCCACACAGGGCGGCAAACGCAAACCGGCTCTGCTCACTCAGCTGTCTGCTGACAACCAGCTCTGGGTTTGGGTCACATGGGGCTTGTTGTGCTGTTTCTGCCCCCCCTGGGTCTGAAGAGATAAACGGACAAAGATTAATGATTAATCTGAAGTTGGTTCAGACACATCATAAAAGAAACCACATCCATGTGACACATCCTGGGACACACTAGTCATCAGCACAAAGCTCAGAGGTGTCAGAGGTCGCTGTCACTCTATTTAAGAGAAACAAAAGTTCGGTGGATCACCTACATTTACCACCAGACCCAGTGACCTGAACGAGGCCTTGTTTTTAATGTTCCTGTTCAGGTTCCGTTTGATTTAGTTTCGTTTATGACTTACTGTGACAGTCACATAAAACTGGGTCTAACTTCTCTCTGACCTGATTTAAACACACTGAGGCTGCTTAACTTTAACCTACATGTCTCTTATATGTCAGCTTTTACCTCAGATAAAGTAAAAGTCACTTAAACCTGTGAACCTCCAGCACAGACCGCTGTTAGCCGCTAAACAGCTGCTTGTTCCGGACGCTGTAGCCGCTGGGTAACCAGCTAACGGGTAACTAGCTAACAGGTGTAACTAGCTAACGGTACCGGGGTGACTCGTCAAAACGTCGTCAAGTTCAATTACTTATCCTCTTAGCACACTCAGGACCAGAATAAACCCGCTTTGGGCTGTACCTGGGGTGAAGCTGGAGCCCGGACAGCTCTGCTTTTCCTCCATGACTGGCACAACTCCGAAGACTGAACTTTTGGTGCGTTCACGGGCTCCTCCTGAGCTCCGACATTACAACAACATCACATTGTTTGGTATTAAATGGACGCGAATGAAAACGATTTATTTACTCGGGGAAACTAGTTGTACAAGTCATTTTCACAAACAAACAATAATACGGCTTCTAGCTTTTAATGTCCCTTTAAAAAAAACTCTTTTACTATCTCATCTGTAATATTTACGACTGTACTTGAAGCGCCGTGCCTCTGAAGCGTCCACGTACACCGAGGACAGGACACAGGTTTATTATTGCTGAAGATACTGATTTAAAACTGCAGAATCACACGTTTTTAAATTAATCTAGCGATTCTAAACGCTGGTTTTTACCAACACTGCTTCATTCAAAAAAAGACCAATACAGTATTACTAAAACACTGCGTTACATAGGCGATACAGAGTCATAAAAAACAGTTTTTATCCCACTGCCATCACTCTACTGAACAGCTGAGTCATTCTCAGCCAAAATTGTTATTTGCATTGCTATTTTGCACAATATACATATATGTTTTTCTGTTCAGATGTGTAAATTCTTATATATGTTTGTCCTATTATCTTGTTTTATTTATTATTTATTGTATTTTATTTTTATTCTTTTCTTTCTATAGTTATTTTAATTTATATATTTTTCCTATTTCTATTATTCCTGCTCATTCCTAGGGCGACACCAACAGCCAAAACCAAATTCCTTCTATGTTGTGTACGTACTTGGCCATTAAAGCTGACTCTGATTCTGATTCTGATACATAACTTGGGTCAGTAGATGTGAGTGTAACGTTTACTGTCTCGCCACACGTCCTTTAGAATAGTTCTTTATTGTCACTGTGGAAGCAATGCTGAAAAGAAAAGTTACAGCAGGGAAATATTGTTGTAGCATCCTTTTGTAGCAGCAATACACAAGTAAAAAAAGCAAAATAAGATAAAATGGCATGAAAAGGAAAGCTAAATATTTTATTACATTTACAACCTTTGTGTCCTGTTCTGCAGCACTACACCACTATTGCTGTTTATTTCAGTGAGCTGGATTGTTTTCCTGATGAGTATTCTGATGTGTGCTCAGTTTAAAAGGGTTCATGTGTTTTTCAAAAGTCGTTGGCCTCCTCTTCTCGTGTTCATGGTTGTTCCAGGAATCATGTGATATCAGAAGTAGGGCTGTCTGCCAGCCAGAGAAAGAAACCGCTTTTGCTGAAGGACACAGTCAGAGAAGTGCACTGGAATCATTGGGTTAGATGTGGCCTGTGGCAAAGCGTGCAGCACACAACCATATGTTTAATGAATGGATGTGAATAGTGTCAGGGTTGAAAGCAAGAGGAGATAACATGCACAGACTTCTACAGTAGATGGAGTCCAGTGTAGGAAGTGTTGTATGACATAGTA